ATAGGAGACGGCAAAGGGATGGAGGATGGAGCAGGCAGGACCAGGGAAGCGAGGAGCCAGCAGTGTGTTGAGATGGATGGCGGGCCAGAGCCGGAGGAGACAGCTGGTGAACCACCAGAGCCTAGGCAAGACGAAGGCCCACGGCGGAGTCGCAGGAGGGAGGAGCCATGGAGGAAACCTTGGCAGAGTATCCAGGGGTGTGAGCTCCTGCGACATGGATGGTGACCCAAACAGAGCCAAGCAGTCGCAGAGCCTAGGCGACCGTGAGGATCTGGAGGGCCAAGGCGAAGCAGCAGATTCCGGCGACCGAGGTGGAGGCAGGGATCTGGAAGACCATGGTGGAGCCAGAGGACGAAAGTGGAGCCTGTGGGAAGAAGGAGTCTGACAGAGCCAGAGGGACAAAGTGATGAGGCGAAGTCGGAGGAGTGGAGTCCCGAGGCGGCAGATGGTCGTCGACTGACCAAGGTGGAGCCGGAGGGATGAGGGACCCCAGTGGAGAAGATGGGATGACGGGCCACGGTGGAGACGATGGAGCTAGGAGCCTAGGCAGAGTCTGAGGGTCGAAGGACCAAGGTGGAGTGGAGGATCCTGTGGCTGGAGGCAGAGACAGGGGAACCTCACGCCAAGTCAGAGCTGATGGTAGGAAGCCCCGATGCAGTCCCACATAGGTGAGAACTGGCTGAGGGTTGTGCATAGGTGGTGACGGACAGCAGTGGAGCTGGGGAAGAGTGCTTGAACGGAGTGAGATGTGGTGGCAGGCAGGTGCAGGACTCAGGCTGAACTGAAGAGGTTAGGAAGTCCAGCAGGGCTAGCAGAATAACAGGCCAAAGTAGAGCTGATGGTTCTTGAGGCTGGACTGGAGTGACATAAGCTGCAGCTGGCAGAGAGTGAAGAGACAGATAGACAGGTAAGAGACTAGGGGTTGAGAGAGAGACAGAACCAGAAGGCGAAGGTGGGATAGGTAGGATGGGTGTATGCATGAGAGATTCAGAAAGGTCAGGGCTGGACGAAACCAGCGGAGACACATAGGATTTAGGTCTGGATGGAACCAGCGAAAATTCAATAGATGCATGACTGGGAGAACCAGATCGATAAGGCTGGGTGGAGATGAGGAAAATAAAGGGTCAAAAAGCAAAGGAAAATCAATAGATGCCAGCTGCAGCTCACCCTCAGCGGCGGGGATGTGGGCGGGGCCTTCCTCCTTGCCCTCGTACTCCACGAGAATCCTCACTGGGACAAGTGTTGTAGCTGGCTCACACACCTGGTCAGACTCATTCTTGGGTTTGAGCTCCGGGGCAATAATCTGCGCTACGTACTCCAGTGCTTTGGTCACGACAGGCTCCCGCTCCAGGCATTAGCTCCGTTTCACTGGGTGAAGGCTGGCTAGGCTCTGGTTTGAGAGTGGGGCTGGTGAGTTCCTCGTTGGCATTGAAGACGGTGAGTGGTGAATCATTGTTCACAAGCACCAACTCCACAAAGCAGCTAGGCTCCCTCAAGGACCTTCCCCGGATAATTTAGCCTTCCTACGTAATAAAATGTCATCAGGCAGACATCCGGGAATTGAGTGTGAGGTCCAAGAAATCCTGTGTCTGGTCCTCAAGAGGGCACTCCCCCTGCTCCAGCAGGAGAAGAACAGCTGAATTCCCTGAATTCAGCTGCACTGAACACAAAAGCAAACAAAAATGCCCCTATACTTTGGTTTTGGTCCGGTCTTCTGTCACGAATTGGCGTGTATGTTAATCCACAGGCAGGCAAGATGACGAAGAAGAGTTCAATATATTTTAATAATCCAAATGACAGGGAACCACTACACATTCACACATCCACAAACTGACGAGACCGTACAACTAACAGAGACAAGAGGGGAGTTTAAATACACAGAAAGTAATGACTTAATTGATAAAGGGCAGGTGAATCAAATCAAGACACATGAGGCGAAAACTAGGTCACAGAAAACACAGACAACAAAACCATGTTGTAAATCTAAGGTTTTTTCTCATTTTATCATCTCCCAGACCCTAAAAGTCTCAATGCTTTTACAAAAAAAAAAAAAAAATCTCTCCTCTACAAGCTGAATGATTTGCGGTATTGTTCATGTAAAACAAACCAAGTTATGCACCAAGAGATAATACTTTCGAAATCATCCCTCCCATTAAAATAGTTTTTATCGTCATCATCTCAAGAGCAAAGCTGTCGGCAAAAAATGGCCTTGAACTCTACTCTGACCTTGTCAGAGTGTTCTGTCTCAGATGATGCTCTCTGAAAACAGCTGGAAAGTTCTACAAGAGTGACAGTTCAATGTCCCACTGAGTAGACCTCCATCTAAAGCTGAGAAGAGCCTTTGTTTCCCCACCACAAATGACCTAAAGTCTTTTTGCGTGGGTGTTCTCTGAGGATCTTTTATCCTCAGAAAAAGTCAATGCTTTTGCCTACATATTTAAGCAATACTAATACAGTTCTTTCAAAGAACATTTAAGCCCCTCAAAGGAAGCATTTAAATTCACCATGAAATAAAAATTGACTGGCCACTGGAAGCAATTAGCAAACAACAACAATCCAATAAATTCCCACCCATTTTTATTTCTTGTTCAAGATGCCATTTCACTCAGATATAGCATCACAATAGGGAAGAAAAGACACAATTTCCGTTTCATGCCCTCTTTAAGAACAGAACAAAAGCTAACATAATATAGTCTGACCTGTTTAACAAAGTGCTCCTCAGACTATGTCATTAATACTTCATTAATAAAAGCATGCTATAAATTATTTATATAGTGAGGTCAATATGGTTTTAATCATTGTTAAAGGGAGTCTGAATGGTGTTCACCTCCATTTGTGCATGATGGGCCTTTGAACAATAGTAATTGTTTCCCTTTTTAAACACTACAAAGCAGTCCATCAGAGCAGCCTGCTCCATCCTTTTAGTGCTTTTAGCTGCTTCCGCAGTGGATTCAGGTCAAAGTTCATCTCACCAAAAAGAATACTATTTCTTTTGACTAAAAAGGTTTATGAGGTATGAGATATCTGGTATTAAGATATTTTAAGACCTTGAGGTAGAATAGAGGCATAAATATACTGAACTACACAAACAACTGACTCAGTAAAACACATTTGTGACATTTGTTTATTGTAGATGAGACTCACACAACTCTTTGAATGTGCCTTTCATAAGCTTATTGTGGCCTTTTTGAAACTTAGTTTGGAACTTAATTGTAATCCAGAAATACAACATTCTTCCTGTATTGTTAAATACACTAAAGCATGTTATCTTAATTTAGTGCAAAAAATGTAATCATTAATTACATATATAAAATACTAGCAATGCCTCTAAGAACTGAATTGGCAGACTGTGTTTCAAAACACTATGATAGTGTCACAATTATGGACTTGAGTTTTGTCTTTTGTGTTTCCTTTTCCTGTTTGTCCTTATTTGGTTTTGTTCCTGTACTAGTTTAGTTCATTAGGTCATTATCTTGTTTAGTTCTTTATCAGTTAACCTCCTGCACCTGTGTTGCCCTCATTAGTTGCCTCATTTAAGCTCACTCCTTTGTTCAATGTTCAATGTTCAGTCGGTTATTGTTTGTGTTACTGCTGTTGTCACCCAGTTTTCATCATTGTGGGTTACTATTAAATATGTTATTAAGATTATCTTTGTCTTCGTGTGCCTTGCCTCGACCTGAGTATGACAGATAGACCACATTAAAGGGCACGAAACGAAATCAAAGACCAATATTTTTTGCAGTTTATGAAAGTGGTCAGTAGAGAGTAATATGTCTGCCAAAAACCATTAGGTTTGGCAGCAACTGCAAAAACGTTCCCCTGTGAGCAATCTTGTCATAAAAGAAAATTGAAATAATAAAGGGAAAATTGTTCTTTTGAGATCTATTGAGTGCAAAAATCACAGAGAAATGTCAATTTTGCTCTGTGCTTTTAAAACATGTATCAGGCCTTTCTAGTTGGATTGATCTAGTAAACAACACTCTATGAAAATAACTGAAAGACAGTTTATTTTTTTAGTTTGTAAGATGATATTTGTGCCATTATTTGTGATTTATTATAAAAAATTAGGGCAGACTGTTTTGTTTTGATGTTTTGGCAACAAATATTGCAATTAATGAAATATGTAAATATATAAATATACAGTATATCATTTAAAAAAAACTTGTCCCCTACTCTTTATGTTTCACTTATTTCAAAATCTACTTTTTTTATTTGTCTTACATATTAAGAATAAAATATTGGCATATAGTGAAGCTTTAAGTCTGAAATTAATCCCAATCGAATTAACTGTGGCCTGTCAAAGAATTTTCAATGAGCTATTATTATTTGTCTTACATATTAAGAATAAAATATTGGCATATAGTGAAGCTTTAAGTCTGAAATTAATCCCAATTGAATTAACTGTGGCCTGTCAAAGAATTTTCAATGAGCTATTATTAGCTCAGACAAATAAGTTAAGCCAAACAGACTGATGTCGGTGTACACCCTTTTCACATCAGTCTCAAAAGGAATTCATAGCAGACAGCCTTCACTGAGAGCTCCTCTGGTAGCCACATTGTCTTGATATTTGAGGTTATATTCATAACTTCAGATGTTGAATTTTGGCACAGTAAATACACGAATCATGAACACTGCCACATTATATGTACTACATATGATTCAAAACTCAAACATCCTATAGCAAGGCCTTGCTTTCCCAAGGTTTACAGAGGAGTCTAAATAAATCACTCTATTGAAAATAATTAATTCCATCACTGATGGCTGTTGCTATTTTTGCCTCAAAATAGAGTCAATGAAGTCAAACAGAGATGGATGTAATTATTGAACCTTTTCAATTTGCATCGGTAGGCTAATTGGACTTACAACAAATAGCAAAATAGGCAGACAAAGGACAATCTATAAGGTGTGGTCACATTAAAGAAATTTTGGCAAAATTTAGCAGGCAAAACAAGGTTTACTGTCAAAAGCGTAGAGATGCATGACACACCACTCACACAGAAGTCTCTTTTAAACCAAGCATGTTTTCTGTTGGTCAATGCGTCAAATTCGTGAGACCAACTTGAATGCGGTGATCTGTGTGGGGAACTTTTTCACCCTCAAGTGCAACTCCTTTTTTCAATATTAAATGTGACCACAGCTTATACCTTTACCAGGAATGGAAATGCTCATTTGTTAAACTTCATACCCTGTTTAATATTTCTTAATGAACACAGCAATCCACAACTAATCCACACCACTATAGACCATCAATTAATGTCTTGTTAAGCAAAAAGCTGTGTGTTTGTATATTTGTAAGAGAACAATTTATCAAGATGTGATGTTTTTAACTTCAAACCGACTAAAATATGAGTCCACTATCCATAATTTTGTTATTTGCATTCAAAAAAAAAACAAAACAAAACAAAAAAAGGTAATCTTGTCTGAAACAGGAGAGAAATGTGCATATAACAAAGCACTGACGAGTGGAGACAGTCCAAAACAGTTCTAAACAAATATGTTGGTGATTTTGATTTGAGAGGACAACAGAGAATGGACTTTTTCACTGGAGAATGCATTATTATGGATTCATATTGTGGCCAGCAGCAAAGGTTTAAAGTTAAAATGCTTTAATGATTAATTTGTTTCTTACAAACACACTGTCATAAAGCAAGGCCAGAAACAACGGGTAAGTGAAAGACAGGATGGTTTATTGATACAAGAGGTGGATGAGTGGAACGGGTTAGGTTAAGGCAGGTGAGTGTCAACAGAGTGAATGATTCCAGGGTTCTTATCTGAGTTCTGAGGGTGAGTGTCTGATGCCGATTTCATGGGAGATCGTGGAACAGCTTCCAAGGAGTCATTGGAGGATTGCGGGAGAACCAGAAGGTAAGTCTTTCTAGGAGAATATCATATAGAGAGTACAGAACAGTCCATAGGAGTGAACGGTAGACCGGACAGTGAGTGACTGTGATGTGTGTGTATTTGTAGTGTGGCTTGATTGGTGACAGCAGGTGCGGG